GAATGATTACGAAAGTCGATCGTTCGTTATCGTAAACGTTATCGTTATCGTTATCGTTATCGTAAACGATCGTTTACGATAGCTTAATAGCATTTGAGATTTAAAGCATTAAAGCATTAAAGCATATAAAACAAAGCATATAAAACAGTAATTACTGTCGTCGATTACTGTAAGATTATTTAGAAGATTACTGTAGATTAGGGGAGTGGGACAAATGCGACAAATGGACAAAAGGATAAATAGACCTTTTTTTGCGCACCCGGACATTTGCGCACCTTTTTTTCCGCACCTTGCCCATTAGCACACCTTTTTAGCTCTAAAAAGCTCTAAAAAAAGCTCTAAAAAGCTAATATTAACCAATTTCTATTCCAAAAGTTGTTTTTTGTTTTTCTAGGTAATTTTAGGGCGTAGAATCGAAATTTTGACATAACAGAGCGTGTGGAACCAATTTGAAAGACAAAACGGCTAGATCAAATTACAGAAAATAAAATTTGTCGATTTTTCTCTTTGTATAACTCCGTCCGTTTGTTTCCACACGCTCTGATATGTCAAAATTTCGATTCTACACCCTCAAATTACCTAGAAAACTAGAAAAACAACTTTTGGAATAGAAATTGGTTAATATTAGCTTTTTAGAGCTTTAGTTAATATTAGCTTTTTTAAAACGCGAAAAAAGGTGCGCTAATGGGCAAGGTGCGGAAAAAAAAGGTGCGCAAATGTTGCTGTATATAAATAGAAAAACTTGCTGAGTTTGGAGCTTAAAGCTTAAATTCATTATATAAATACCGTAAATACTGTAATAGTACCCCATCCCCCTCGTACAGTCGCGTAGTCGCAAAAGTTTTTTAGTATTTCATTTTTTTCAAAGCGCCCGTACTTTCAGAAAATGTGTTTTTGGTATGAAAAAATAGCTGAAATAGAGGGCTATTTTTTGATATCTAAACGAGCATTTTAGCATAAACCAGTGTCGAGAAAAATTCGTTCAAAGCTAGACAACGCAACACTCCGCACCGTCATTATGGGGGTGGGGCTATTACAGTATTTACGGTATCAAAATATCATCACCATTCAAAAAGTCAAAAAATTGAGACATTCCACCACTAGCCATTTAACTCTTTCAAGAAATCCGTTTGTAAAGGCCTCTTTTTTTGGGATACCTTGTATGATCTAGATCTAGATCTAGATCTAAATCACACAGGGTATCCCAAAATCTTACTCCGATACTAGATCTAGATCTAGATCTAGTATCGAAGTAAGATGAAGAATTTCATCTGTAACTTGGCAAATCGTTTCTGTAATTTGCTCATATTCTCTTCTTTATCATCTTTATCTCACTTTATCTGAATAAATATATCATCATAAAAGTTGTGGCGAATAGCCACTAAAAAGTTAGCTAACTCTAGCAGCCTAAAAATTGGAGAAATATTGAGGAAATCGGTGAGCCTTCATTCTATTTCGCGCCTCAAATCATTTATTGTTTTGTAGCTTGTTAGCTGAGTATCTTGGGTTAAAGCCTATATAAGGCAACTGTTGTTCATTTTGTTTTTTTGTTATCTTTCATTTTCTTTCTGCTTTCCTCTCATTTTGTGTGAAAGTTGTGTCCTAATTAGGACGAAATTGTTTCGATTTTTTATCGTCGCTTTTAATTCAATTGTCGATCTTGTGTGAAAATTGCTCAAGTGAGAGCCCCAAAGATTCCGAGTCAGTCTTGCTATTGAATAAAGTGTTTTTAAAGTGAGATAAAGTGAGATAGAGTGAGATGAGATATCTCGGAACAAGAAATAACGTGTCTTGAGTGAAGAGTACCAAGCACGCGTATAATATTTCTTTACAAAAATCGAATTGTTTATCTGCTTTAAGCAATGTTTATCTGCTTTTCAATGAATTTCTATTCGAAAGTGATTTTGAATGAATCGATCGGATAGATTGTACCTTTCTTTTGTTATGATTTATTGGATTTCACTTTATTATCTGAATAAAAGTATCATCAAAGTCAAATTGTTTATCTGCTTTAAGCAAATTTTCAATGAATTTCTATTAGAATCGAATGAATTGATCGAATAGATTGAATTCGATTTGTTGAGCTTGTCGAGAAGTTGCTACGAAGCTTACAAAGCTTACAAAGCTTACGAAGAAGTTGCTACAAAGCTTACAAAGCTTACAAAGCTTAAAAAGCTACTAAAAAGAGTGAAAAGAGAAAGAAAAGGGAATAGGGAAGTAATTGAAGTTTATTTTTTGCAGTCCAGGAACTGAAAAACGCTTGAAAATGCATAAAATTCAGGTTTTCTGATGGAGAAAAGTTTGAAGAAAGAAATTTTCTTTAAAATTTACAATCGACACTTCCCGTCAGAGTCGCTAGATTGATGAAATTTGTTCCCAAATTTACATACGAGAAATTCAGTCACTTTCCATTCTCGAGAAACAAATCTAGAGGCTCTAGTCTTTCAGGCTCTAGATCTAACTGCTTTCTCTTGTAGGTAATCTGTTTATTTGCATTTCTATTCTATCTCATATCTTCGTGTCTTTCTTTTGTCTCTACATTTATCAAAACATCAAAACCTATTCTTTCATACAGCTAAATTTCAAATTTTCAATGAAAAATCGATATTTTTCAAAAATTTCTATTAGAAATTGATTTTGAATGAATTGATCGAATAGATTGAATTCGATTTGTTGAGCTTGTCGAGAAGTTGCCACAAAGCTACAAAGCTACAAAGCTATAAAGCTACAAAGCTACAAAGCTACAAAGCTACAAAGCTACAAAGCTACAAAGCTACAAAGCTATAAAGCTACAAAGCTACAAAGCTTACAAAGCTACAAAGAAGTTGATCATACTCTCTTCTTTATCATCTCAATTGAAATCTTTATCATTCTCACTATATCTGAATAAAGTAACATCATAAAAGTCGAATTGTTTATGTGCTTTAAGCAAATTCTCAATTCATTTCTATTAGAAAGTGATTTTGAATGAATTGATCGGATATATACCTTTCTTATGTACCTTTCTTTTGTTTGATTTATTGGATTTCACTTTATCATCTGAATAAAAGTATGATCAAAGTCGAATTGTTTATCTGCTTTAAGCAAATTCTCAATTAATTTCTATTAGAATTGAATGAATTGATCGAATAGATTGAATTCGATTTGTTGAGCTTGTCGAGAAGTTGCTACAAAGCTTACAAAGCTACAAAGCTTACAAAGCTACAAAGCTTACAAAGCTACAAAGCTTACAAAGCTACAAAGAAGCTGCTCATATTCTCTTCTTTATCATCTGAATTGGAATCTTTATCATTCACATTATCATCTGAATAAAGTATCATCATAAAAGTCGAATTGTTTATCTACTTTTTTTTCAATTAATGATAAAGATCATTTTCAATGAATTTCTATTAGAATTTCTGTTAGAAAGTGATTTTGAGTGAATTGATCGAATAGATTGTACCTTTCTTTTGTTATGATTTATTGGATTTCATTTTATCTTTGATTTATCGTCTGAATTTATGATCTAAATTTCACTTTATCATCTGAATAAAGTATCATCATTATTCCTCGCTTTCAAATCAAATTTCACTGCGATTAGGTGAAAGTTTTTAAAGTTTTTAAAGCTAAAACTCATGTATTTAAACAAAAAAAAAGATTTTTTCAGATTCATTTCAACTTTTTATAAACAAAATTTTGATAAAAATGAAAAAAACTGCATCTCAAAGTAATAAAATCTTTAAAAAGTTTATTTCTAAAGCTTTGTTTGTTTTAAAAAGCTTTGTAGAAAAAGATTTATATAGAAATCCATCTTTTTTTACTTAATAAGTTCAAAGTAATGAGTTTAAAAAGGGTTTAATTAAAATTTAAGATTAAAAATCATATTTTAAACATTAAAACAAAGAAAGTAGCTAAATTTTCGCAAAAATCAAAGAGAAAAGCTGAATAAACGAGAGGAGGAAATGCATGTTTTTTTTCTCATTTTTATGTCGCGATTCAAAGTTTGATGGAATAGAGATTCGAAAAAAGCTTTTTATTCAAGAGTTTGCAAAAAATTATAGAGAAATGATGGACACAAATGGACACAAAAACACAAAATGAATAAAGAAAATGAATAAAGAAAATGAATGAAGCAAATGAATGAAGAAAATGAGCCAAAATTAGAATTGTCTTCCTCGCGAGTAAGTAATTACTCGAGTAAATTTGCATGAGTCATTTTTTACTAATAGCTCGAGTAATTGTCGAGTAATGCGTTTTCTAAAAAGTGCGCCTGCGGGGAAAAGATATAAAAGCAATCTTTTGCGCAGGTTTTGGGGTAGGCTAGTTTCCGCGAATTTTTTTGCGCAACAGGATCATTAGCGCAATAGGATCATTAGCGCCAGGATCATTAGCGCAACTGGATCATTAGCGTGACTGGATCATTAGCGCAACAGGATCATGAGCGCCAGGATCATTAGCGCAACTAGATCATTAGCGCAACAGGATCATTAGCGCAACTAGATCATTAGCGCAACAGGATCATTAGCGCAACTAGATCATTAGCGCAACAGGATCATTAGCGCAACTAGATCATTAGCGCAACAGGATCATTAGCGCAATAGGATCATTAGCGCCAGGATCATTAGCGCAACTGGATCATTAGCGTGACTGGATCATTAGCGCAATAGGATCATTAGCGCCAGGATCATTAGCGCCAGGATCATTAGCGCCAGGATCATTATCGCAACAGGATCATTAGCGCAACTAGATCATTAGCGCAATAGGATCATTAGCGCAACTGGATCATTTGCTTGCTATAACTTTCTTCTAAATCTAAAGAGTTTGCAAAAATTATAGAGAAATGATGGACACAAATGGACACAAAAACAGAAAAAGAAAATGAATGAAGCAAATGAATGAAAGAGAAAAGCTAAAATTCTAGTTAGCCAAAAATAAAGATTTAAGCGGATTTATCCTTTTTTTAAGCTTAGAGTTTCAATTTTAAAATTACAATTCTTACAAATTCTTTTTAAAAAGCATTAAAAATCCTCGGGTAATGAATGATCTTTAAGAAAAAGTTTTCTGTTTGAAGATCCCGATTTGGTTGAGGTGTGGCGTTGCGGGAGACAGCGAGATGATCGAAAGTCGTCACTTGCATCATCTTCAATGGTTGATTCACGTATGAAGTGACCATTCTGGAGTTTGATTCTAGTTTGATTCGAGTTTGATTCTAGTTTGATTCTAGTTTGATTCTAGGTTGATTCTAGGTTGATTCTAGGTTGATTCTAGGTTGATTCTATTGATTCTAGTTTGATTCTAGTTTGATTCGAGTTTGATTCTAGTTTGATTCTAGTTTGATTCTAGGTTGATTCTAGGTTGATTCTAGGTTGATTCTAGGTTGATTCTATTGATTCTAGTTTGATTCTAGTTTGATTCGAGTTTGATTCTAGTTTGATTCTAGTTCAATTCTAGTTTTTTTCATTTTTGATCATTTTCTTTAAAACATTGTATAGCGGAAAGCTAGAAATCCCTTTTTTAGGCTTAGGCTCAGTATACACTACTCAAAACTACAGTATACAGCACTAATCTAGTGCTGTATACTGTAGTTTTGACTTTAAAATGTCTATGAAGTAACTTCAAACCGTTTCTAGACAAAATAGAGATATAGTAGACTTCGAGATATTAAGCCTAAGCCTAAGTCCAAGCCTAAGCCTAAGTCCAAGCCTAAGCCTAAGTCCAAGCCTAAGCCTAAGTCCAAGCCTAAGCCTAAGTCCAAGCCTAAGCCTAAGTCCAAGCCTAAGCCTAAGTCCAAGCCTAAGCCTAAGTCCAAGCCTAAGCCTCAGCCTAATCTCAACTCTAACTAAAAAACTTCCAATATCAATTTCAATCATTAAACTCAAAAAATGAAATCGAATTGAAAGATTAGATGATTGAAGACAAGATTTTGAAGATTTTGATTCTTTTATTAAAGTAGATTTGCCTATTTGTAAGAGAAAAATAAAGGAATTAAGAAGAAAAAGTAGGAGAAGAGATATTCGAGATTTCTCGGTTAGAGTTCAAGGATCATCACCATCACCTCAACCCACCCTCCACCTGAGCTTTCCCTCAACCAATTGCTCTAACCCACTCACCTATTCGGTATCTTGAATTGTCAAAAGAAAGAAGGAAACACAAGGAGAACAAGAACAAGAACAAGAACAAGAACAAGATCTTAAAGAATCCATTAAGAAAATGAATTCTTACCCCACTCCCCGTTGATCTCTTCCGATCATGAAGAGAGGCTTGATTTTGACACGATTCGGCCAATTGATTCAAACGGTGTTCGATGTCAGTGAAGTAACCAACCTAAATAAAGCTTTATTATCGTGAAAAAGGCTCACTATCGGCTTAAACTTCTAACAAGAGAAGGACAACTGGCTGAGCCGGTAAAATGCTATAACCTTTGACGCAGAATCTTACGTTGATTCCGAATAGATATTCTGTTTTTGCTAAATGACAATCTACAAAGAGCTATAAGTGTCTAAAGTTTGTTAGGACTTAAAAAATGTAGTCATTTGGGTCTTAGCGGCCTTCTTGCACCAGTTTCAGTCGACCAGCTTTGGTGCAACCGTGGCTACTTTGGATTTGGATTTCTCTTTCACATCTTTTACAAGAAGTGCTGACTAGAAGGTCTTTGTGCGCTCCAAAGTGGAGATCGAACTTGTGAGGTGTCGCTTTGGAAGGCTCTACCACTTAGCCACGGTTGCACCAAAGCTGGTCGACTGAAACTAGTGCAAGAAGGCTGCTAAGACCCAAATGACTACCTTTTTTAAGTCCTAACAAACTTTAGACACTTATAACTCTTTGTAGATTGTCATTTAGCAAAAACAGAACATGTATTCGGAATCAGCATAAAATTCTGCATCAAATGGTATAGCTCACATAGCATTTTTCCGGCTCAGCCAGTTGACCTTTGCTTGTATTGTACAAGCAAAGGTGCTTGTGTATTGTACAACTCTGAACCTAAAGCCAGCTTCAGCCTCCAAAGGCAGATCCAAGCTTTGATCTGGACTTAAAGCCAAGCCTCACGTATCAATTTATCAATTTATCAACCTATCAATCTATCAATCTATAAATTTATGATAAAATTCGTGACTATCCCTCTTAATACCTTAATTCGATGGACAACATCTTTGAGTAAAGTCCTCCAAACAATCACCGCTCCATCAATCTCTTTTTCCGGGAATTTTCGGTGATTAGCTGTAAAGAAATTTAGTTTAAAAAGTGAAGTTTTTTTTTGAATTTCTTTACCTTCCAAGAACTTTCGAACATGAAAGATCATCGACTCAAGAAACACTGACCAATAATATGGACGAAATTTGCCTACCAACTGAAAATTTCATTCATTACCTTTGCTGCATTAGAATGACACTTTATTTTAGTTAAAATGTGTACATAAACTTAGACTTGAAGTATTTAGTAGTACTATGTACAGTGCTAATTAGTAGTACTGTACAGTGCTAGTCAGTAGTACTGTACAGTGCTATTTACAGTAGTACTATGTACAGCAAATCAATAAGTACAAGATCTAGATTTCCTTCTCGCTTTTACCTCTAATTTCCCGTGTCTTCGGCCTAAATTATCCAAAATCGTGTTCATATTGTTGAGACTGTCGAGATTTCGCATTGCGCTTTCAACCACCTGAAAACTAATAATTTAATGATTTCAAAAACATAAATAATCTTGAAGTAAATCTAGAAAGCTAGATTAGAAGCTAGATTACATTCAAGCTAGATTACATTCAAGCTAGATTACACTCAAGCTAGATTACATTCAAGCTAGATTACACTCAAGCTAGATTACATTCAAGCTAGATTACATTCAAGCTAGATTACATTCAAGCTAGATTACATTCAAGCTATTTCAAAGTTTACTTTAAGCTCTTTTTTGGCGCATCGAGCTTCACCCCAAAAACAAAAAACAACCCAAATTCAATGTCATATATTTATTTGAGCTTTAATAGCTGTTATTAGTTCCTTGGGATTGTAAAAAGCTAGATTTGGAGTAAGTGAAGAAGTAGGTAAGGAGATGTAGTGCACAGAATAACTGTCAACTCTTAATAACTGTCATTTGTTTCTTGGGATTGTAAATAGCTAGATTTGGGATAAGTGAAGAAGCAGATAAGGAGATGTAGTGCACAAAATACAGCACTGATACGGAAGATGATTGGATTGAATAAAGTTTTTCAAAATTTTCGCTTCCCTTTCTTTCAACAAACCTGCATAAAACGCAATGCCTGAAAGACGAACTCGTTGTTTTTTCGAAGCTCTTTTTTATGCCCAAAAGTATCGATTTTCGGAAAGAGATAACGAGTCTCAGGACACTAAAAAACAATTTAAAAGCTTTAGAGTAAAGTTTTAGATTCAAATTTAGACTCAAATCTAGCTTTAAATCTACAGTTCTTTAAAGAAAAGACAATTTAAAAGCTTTAAAGTAAAGTTTTAGATTCAAATCTAGCTTTAAATCTATTCCTCTTTAAAGAAAAGACAATTTAAAAGCTTTAAAGTAAAGTTTTAGATTCAAATCTAGCTTTAAATCTATTCCTCTTTCAAGAAAAGACAATTTAAAAGCTTTAAAGTAAAGTTTTAGATTCAAATCTAGCTTTAAATCTATTCTTCTTTAAAGAAAAGACAATTTAAAGGCTTTAAACTCAGTTCAATTTATTCAAATCCAATTCAAATCCTTTAAATCTATTCCCCTTTCAAGAAACTTTCTAAAGATTCAAATCTAACTTTTGCCCATTTGTTTTTGCCCAAATCTTTGTTTTAAAAGTTCAAATTTGTCAATTTACTTGATTAAATATCATCTCATAAATATCACATCCAAGACTTTGTTTGTTTGGTTGAATGAGTGCCCACGAGCGAATTAAAAGATCTTTCTCATCCGGATTGTACTCGTACCAATCAACACTGTTTGTAGACATTTGTAGAAGCTGAAATTCTTTGAGTTTCTTTGAGTAAACGATAGAAAAGATTAAATCTTATTTACCGTATTTTCTCTAATAGTAGTGCACCCTAAGCGTCGCCTAAATTCCTCGAAATCTCGAAATCTCGAAATCCTCGAAATCTCGAGAAGCGCTTATCAGAACCTATCGATGTGGGGTCGGAAAATGTAGCTGACGATGAGATCTAATGGGGGATTTGAGTGTTGAGTTTCTGGGAAAGCTTTGGAAGCCGTAAATAGTCATCAACTCGGCTCGCTTGGGTGCACTACTATTGGAGAGACACACTCTCCAATAGTAGTGGAGAGTGTGTGCTACAAGACAGTTTAAAAAGGTTTAAAATGTAGCTGACGATGAGATCTAGTGAGGGATTGAGTGTTGAGCTTCTGCAAAAGCTTTGGAAGGCTCAAATAGTCATCAAATACGGCTCGACGGGGTGCACTAATATTAGAGAAAATGCGGTAATCTTTTCTAATGTAAACAAGAAGCTAGAACAAGTCCTGAACGTGATCACAACCAGGTAAGCGTCCATTACTAACACTAAGAATTGTGTTTACAAGCTGAGAGCTAAAGATTAAAAGAATTGAATCTTTAGTACTCAGCTTTTAACTGGAAAGCGACGAAAATTGATCATGAATTATTGAGTCTCACTCAGCAAATCACTTCCTTTACTTTTTTCTCGATTTTCTACTGAAAAAAGAGAAAGACTAGAGGAAATTTTTGATATTTGATTAGAAAGTATTCAAATATTAAACGATTAAACGATTAAACGATTATTGAACATATTATTGATCATATTATTGAACATATTATTGATAACTAAGAGCTTTTCAATGATAAACTCAAGTTTAAATCAGAAAAGTGTGCTTGTGTTGATTTGAAAGATCAAAAAGATGATCTTTCAAGGCATTTTCAATAATACGATTACTTGAAAGCTGATAAATTTCAAAATTGATTCTTAATCTAGATGAAAACAATTGAAAGATTTAAAGAAATGCTTGAAGGTTCTTTGAAAAGTCATTTCAACAACTGATTTCAAAAAACGATTCCAAAAACTGATTCCAAAAGCTGAAAACTTTTCAAATGCTGCTGGGAAATTCAGCAGTCAGACCCTCATTGTCCTAAAAGCTTGTCCTTTTTCTCTCACCACACCAAAAAAAGTTGCATTCCAAAGTCCCTAATCGGAAATTGCGGTCCAATGAAACTCATGAGACGTCTCGAATCCTCTTTTTGACATGTAAAACGAAAGTTTTCTCTTTAGAAAATAGGTTAAACTACGATCTTACGATAAATCGAATGTTTTTTTTTTTATATAATTGCTAAACTAGAGTTAATATAATGTTAAACATTGAAAGAAAAAGTTTTCATTCAACGTTTGATTTGTTGAAAAGAGATTGCATGCATTTTGCAAACAATTCCTGAACAATTCCTGAATTCTTTCATTTCAAAAGCGCCTTCTTTCTGCTTTATCCAAATTTCTTTTTCTTTTTTATAAAGATTGAGTCTTAAAGTCTTAAAGTCTTAAAGCAAGTGTTAAGCAAAGTGATTAACAAAGAAGAGACGTCAATTGGAAGGAGATGAACAAAGAAAAGACGTCAGTTGGAAGCAGATGAACAGAGCAAAGACATCAATTGGAAGGAGATGAACAAAGCAAAGACGATTGGAAGCAGATGAACAAAGAAAAGACATCAGTTGGAAGCAGATGAACAAAGCAAAGACGATTGGAAGCAGATGAACAAAGAAAAGACATCAATTGGAAGGAGATGAACAAAGAAGAGACATCAATTGGAAGGAGATGAACAAAGAAAAGACATCAGTTGGAAGCAGATGAACAAAGCAAAGACGATTGGAAGAAGATGAACAAAGAAAAGACGTCAATTGAAAGCAGATGAACAAATTGACTGTCACAAAATCTTCTTTAAGCTCTAAAGTCATCAAGAATAATTCTAAAGTAGTGAAATCCATTGAAATTGAAAAGAAAAACACTTTTATGCTGAAATTTCTTTCCTTTAACTCAGTCTAGACTTCAATTAACTTTCAAAACAAACAAAAAAGTGAATCTCAAGCAAAGAACCACAAAAAAAAACCCCCCAATGAACTCTTGATTAAAAGTTTTTTTCTTTTTTTTCTGAAAAAGTCTTGATAGAAAAGATATTGAGAGATTGGGGAGCTCTGCAGAAAAAGGCAATTCACTTACGCTTAAACACAGCCAAGAGACGGCTTCTCTTACCCAATTTTGAAGAGAAAACGATTGAGGAGTTACATGTTTATGTTCGCTTTAAGTTTAGAATTTTAGAAGTTTAGAATAGAGCTTATCAAGCGCTTATCTATACCAGTATTGATATTGATGGCTTTAAAATCAAAAGATCAAGATTCACTGGCACTAGGCGGGCACCCGGATCGTCCAGGCTGTAGACAAAAGCGCTTCTGACTGCACCACGACGACAGCTCTTTCAGCTTTTCTAGCTGTTTAGAAACCACATTTAAACAGCTGGTGGTTCATTGAAACAAATCTAAACTCAAATCCAAACCCGGAAATCCTTATGGAACTCAAAAATTTGTCCAAAATTTGTGCAAATATTTGTGCACTCAAATTCCTAGCCTCAAGCTATAAATAAAAGAGTTCCGGGTGAAAAAAGAAGCTCCAAAAAATGGAAAGCTGCAAACAAAGATTAGAAATCATAATTGAATAGTAAGCTAAGGGAGAATAGAATCAGATTGGAGGACGGTAACTTGGCTTCTGGCTTGGCTTTTGGCTTGGCTTCTGGCTTGGCTTCTGGCTTGGCTTCTGGCTTGGCTTCTGGCTTGGCTTTTGGCTTGGCTTTTGACTTCGATTGAACCTGTCCCAGGTTCTGGCACAGATTCAATCCAAACCAAAACCTGACTGGACTAGAAATTCTGTAGATTTTCCTTTTTTTCCACCAATTTATACGCAAAATAGGCAATTTTATTGTCTCATTTCGAATGCTGAAACGATTTCTTCAATTGTGGTGATCGCATTCTCGTTTTGGAGACGAAGTTTGGCGTCCTTCACAGTTTTCCACCAAATTTCTGGGATCATTTCACAGCCGAAATGGGCACCTCAATTCAATTTATTAGTTTTTAGCTTTAAAAAGACTTATTCATGTCTATCGAAGCTACCGTAGTCCAAAGGATTACGGTAATCCTGCTGTCCCACTGGATTACGGTAATCCCTGTCCCACTGGATTACGGTGATCCCTGTCCCACTGGATTATGGTAATCCTACAAAGTTACGGCATTCCCATTGGGTTACGGTGCTTTTTTTAGATCCATTCTTTAACCAGAATGATTACGGCACTTTAGTTCGATAGTTGGCACTTAGAAATGCAAAAGGTGTGTTGGGGAACGTATCCTTAATCCATACTCTGACTAACAACTCTAACTCTAAAAAGCAGACTGCTTAAAACCCCAAAAAAGAAAACAGACGACCAGCTACCGGATTCGAACCAGTGAGGTCTCGCCTTCCGTCCTAACTCACTGCCACGTGGCCACCGCTGTCACTAGGCTTGCTTGGAAGAAAGGCTTGTAATGTCGCGGTTTCTTTTTAAATGAAACTTTAAACGCATATATCTTTTGACAGAGTGCTCCGTAAGAAAAAAGAAAGCCAGCATCGGTTCAGCGTCCTGCGTCTAGGACTGATGTTAGCTGATTAGCTGATAGCTGATTAGCTGATAGCTGATTAGCTGATAGCTGATTAGCTGATAGCTGATTAGCTGATAGCTGATTAGCTGATAGCTGATTAGCTGATAGCTGATTAGCTGATAGCTGATAGCTGATAGCTGATTAGCTGATAGCTGATAGCTGATTAGCTGATAGCTGATAGCTGAGCTGAACTCACCAAGTAATGCAGCAACAATGCAACCATTTGTATCAGTATCCCCACCGACAAGAATTGCATCCAGTAAACCCTCGGCAAAGGATTTTGCAGGCAGTAGCTCATAGAAAGCAATCTGAAATCGGAAATTTTATCAGAATTAAGAGTTTTTATGCTAATTTAAAGGTTTAAAACTCTTTTCCTGCAAAGCGATCCCGAAATATCCCATAATTTGATCGTCTCCATTCGTTGAAAGACTCAACTCATCACCATAAGGAAATGGAGAAAGCTAAATGTTTATTGATCTTAAATCCAAACAAATAACAAAGCAATAAAGGAGTAAAGGTAGCTAAGAGCAGTAAAGCTGGCTAAGAGCAGTAAAGGTAGCTAAGAGCAGTAAAGCTAGCTAAGAGCAGTAAAGCTAGCTAAGAACAGTAAAGCTGGCTAAGAACAGTAAAGCTAGCTAAAACAAGGATTATGGAATGAGTTTCTTACTTGAATTGCAGCTAGTTCCAAATGTTTTCTAACAATTTTATCCTTTGTTGATGAAAGAGCGTTTCTGTAAAGAAATAAGTATTTTAGTTAAAGTTATTCTTAAAAGTAAAGACTATTTACTAAAGAATACTTAAAGATTAAGAAGATTAAGTAATTTAAGAAATAAAAACATCATTATCAAGCTATTAGGCTTTCAAGAGCTTCTCAGTTTTGTCTTTCCTTCTTAGTTTTGTCTCTCCAATACCAACTGATAAACCGCTTCTGGAGTGAAACCATTTATGAGTTGATGAATGGCTTTTGTATAGATTTCAGCCGCATCAATCGTTGTCGAATTTGCGTGCGTTATTGTCACCTCTTTAGCGATGTAATTTGACCAACTAGAATCTTGAATTAGTCTTTTTTTTTACAATACTCCATTGGTTTCCTTCAGGGAAAACACACACACACACACACACACTTTCTAGTGCACCTAACTAGTGCCAACTGCGCTAGAAAGTCAATATTTCTATGCCGATAAAGTCTAAAGCTTTCAGCAATCTTTCAGCAATCAGATCTTTCAGCAATCTTTCACCAATCTTTCAATCCTTCAGCACTCCTTCAACTTTCACCTCCTCAATCCTCACCTCTCAAACGGTTGACAATGATAAAAAGCTGGTAATGGTGAAATTCTCATCAGAAAACCATTTGACAGTGATTTTTCATTTGTTTTCTTCACATTTTCTTCAATCATTTGTAAAAGTCTAAATAAAAATTTGGATTTAAATCAACTTTATTTAAACCGAAGCCTTTGTTCATCAGACCAAGTCTCAAGCCAATCCCTGGGAACTTTGTCAACTAAAAATGACATTGTTTACATAAATTGATGATATTTTTATCTAATATTTATTTAATATCTAATAAATAATAGTGAAAATCTACCTATTTTCAATGCCAATCGTGTCGTTCGACCGCTTGACTTTGGCTTTGATTGAATCCATCTAAAGGATTCAATTATTGGGTTGATGAATTGAAAACTGCCGGACTTTGAACTAAAATTTATTCAAAAAACTATCAAAGCCAATTTTTGACTGCTTCTTCCGAATCGAAGTGTTCTCTCGCAAGCTCATTACTCATGGTCCGAAATAAGTGGTAATCAAAACGGGCGAGATCCGGACTGTATGGGAAATGCGCCAAAAGTTCCCAAACGAGGTTATTTATTTTAGGGCGAGTCAGTTTTGCAGCATGAGGGCGCGCGTTGTCATGAAATCGAGTAGCTCTGAAAAAAAATCGATTGCTTCATCGACAGTTCAGCTCTAAAACAAATATCTAGCACTATTCTATTAGGAAATCCTATAGTTCAGCTAGATTGAAGGCTTAAAACTTTACACAACTTGAACAATTTGTCTACCTTTTCTCTTACTTTCGCTTACAATCTATTGGGTTAGTGAATTGAAAGCTGCGGGATTTTGAACTAAAATTTATTGAACATAAAACCATAAACTCATTTCAAATAATTTCCATTTTTATTGACGACTTGTGCCCATTTTACAGGCAATTTGCGGATTCCTCTTTCGTGGTAGGATTTTGGTTTGTGTGTGAGACAAGTGTGAGACTCAGAAATGGAGGACTGGAGATGTCCCAATGTTCCAGTTTGAGCACTTTCTTCAAAAGAAATCCATTTTGGTGTGAATGGAAAAGTTGTAGAGAATCAAAAATTAGGCTTATAGCCAAATTTCCAAAAAGATACACTTAGTAGTTTCGCTTAAAATGCAAGTTTTGTGAAAATTCGTAAATTTCGCATTTCTTGAAAACCAGTTTTTGAATCGTTCTGAAAATTTGGATATAAGCTTGATTTTTGATTCTCTACAACTTTTCCATTGACACCAAAATGGGTTTCTTTTGAAGAAAGTGCTCAAACCGTCACATATCCCAATAGCCGGCAGTTTTCAATTCACCAACCCAATACTATTAGGTTGATGCAAAAGTCTTTTTCGTTTTTTTCGTACTTCTGTTAAAAAGTAATTGAGAAAAAGTGTGGTAGAGCCATTCATTGGAGACGCTTTGTGGCAATTCTTTGATTCGAAGGGCGGCTCCGTGGATCGAATAACGTACACGCACTTGACGGCCTTTGATCTCTAGTCCATCGATCGCTTCTTTGGCACTTTCCGCGTGCGCACGTGTGTCCTAAACAATTCAAATTATAGAGAAAGCTTGACTAAGTAAAGTTTCTAAAAAACTTTATGCCCAAACAAATAGTGAAACATGGTTATTCAACTTGTAAAAGAACACTGGACATCGGTTTACTACCAGGGGTTTGCTAATGTAATAGGTTGATGCAAAAGTCTTTTTCGTTTTTTTCGTACTTCTGTTAAAAAGTAACAAATTCACGAATTAATCTATAGTTTGCTCTATAAAAAAAAGTGTTTTTTTGTTCAATTTGCATCTTTTTAAATGAATTTCGGTTCACTTTGAAGCAAATTCGAGAGTGAAAAACGCCTTTTTCGTAAAAATCTAGAAAAAAACTCTACGGAAAAATTGGCTGAATGAATTTCTCTGAAAATTTGGATATACACCTAACTTTTTGTGTTCTATCTTTTATCTATTGACACGAAGATAGGTTTTCTTTAGCTAAGGTGTCTAAACCGCATCATCGAGTTAGCCCTTTTTGACTACCCGACTTCATACTCTCAAGAAAATCCAGGCATTCAATATTTTTAAACCCGTTTTAATGTTATTTTGCAGAAAAATAATTGCTTTTTCTAATGAAATCAACCGTAGTTTAATTGGTGCATTTGTTGGCTTGAAACGGCAGACGAAAAAAATGAAAAAGACTTTTGCATCAACCTAATACAATAAACCTCCCATAATCCAGTCAAATTCTTAACATTTTATCATATCTACTTTTACTTTTACTTCGAAACTTATTATTTATTTGATTTTTATTTATAAACAGCTAATGATTTGATTTTTATTTCTAAACATTAAACTCACCGCACGTATGACGTTGCAACTGTCGCTTGATCGTAACCATTTTTAGCCAACAGACAACCAGCTAATGATAAACCCATCTCACTATCGTCTGTGATCTTAAAAATACTTCTATGGAGCTTAATCTAATCTTAAACATCTTTACAATCGTACCTAGACACAGAGATTTTAATCCTCACCTCACCCGCACTCCATTTAAATCTTCCCCCGCCCAGCATTGGCAAAAGCTCATCATTCTTCATGTCTTCAGCCATCATCTAAATATTTTTCTTCAGCTTTATTCAAGAAGGCTTTAAAATAACTCACTTCTTTAACTTCTTTTGCTGTTTTGAATTCATATCGTGCTCCTAGAGCATCACCGATCAAATGACCCATTAAAACACCCCGCACTCGATTTGAGCACATCTTTACAAAAGAAATGTGATCAGAAATGAAATCAGAAATGAAGAGAACTAGAAAAACATTGAGAAACTTTCGATTAGATCTTTAGATTAATGTCTAAACATCTCTAAAGATCTTTAGATTAATGTTTAGCAACGTTTTAGGAAAAGAGACAAGAGAAAAGATGTAGATGTGATAAAAATGATAGAAAACGGTTAGAGATCACTTTCGGCTGCACAAACACAACCTTTCTGGCATTTCTTCTTTTCCCGCGATAACGCGGTTCTTATCGGCTATACCCCAATTATTTATAGCCAAAATGAGAAAATGACAGATTGTCAGAAATTAGAGATTTTGCTTGAAGAACAAACAAATCCCGCCAATCGCTTTCCTGACCCCGAAAACCCCTGAGTACAAACTTTTGGCTGCAGATCTCATCTGAGGAATGTTTACAGAACAAAAATCCTTTTGCAAAAAAAACCCGAAGTGTTCTTTGTGCAGTCGCGTAATCGCTCGTCGTCTGGCGCAGGGCTTTTAGATAACCCCCTTCCCTCTCTCGCGAGCTAACTCTTCCGTCCATTTCCGAATTCTCAAATCAAGGCTAATCTCAATCTGCTGTCACAAATGTTTAGAAAGGTGATGAACAAGAGCAAATTCATTCTTTGGAGACGGGTGGGCTTAGGCTTAACCTTAACTTAACTCTTAACCATACCTAAGCGGGGTATGGTTAGGAGCCGGACCAGGCAAGGGTAGACAGTGTTGTGTTGGTGAAATCCATATTTAGACTTTAAGAGTAGATAAACAACCACAAATAGCCTCATTTATTATTTTAGTCCAAATCGTTCCAAGAAAAATAAGTGCACCAGAAAAGGTGCGTTTTCAAACACCAGAAGCATAAAGAACATTGAGCAAATCAAGAGAAACTTTAACAATTTATAGATTTTTGGAAAACGCAAAGATAAAAATCGGTGGAACGTACAAACAAGGAAATGCGGGATGAGTCATCCTTTCAAAAGAAAACCTGTCAACAGGGAAGTGGGGGAATGGAGAGACTCAAGCCGAGAGAGAACAGAGAAAGCTGCCCCAAAAAGGATATTCTTTAAAAAAAAACTCTTTCTACACTAATTTTGAAATCAAAGTGCAGAAAGGTTGAAATTTAGAGATAACTGACAATTGACAACAAGATTTCTGAGACTGAGAAACTTTGTCCTTGTTGTGAAATCTTGCACAGAGTTGAACAGGGTCTAGTTGGTGAACAAAAGCTTGTCAACAACAGTTTTCATCTACAATATTCTCTAATCTCTTTGGGTCTAAAAACCCCTAAAAATCTAGCCATTGAAGTGAGCAAAGCTTGTTTTTCTTGACACCTATTGACAATCAGAGCAACAAATGAATGGGTCTAATCTCCAATCATATTGTAGTCGCTCTCCGACAACCCCTGTTCAATTATCCAATCAAAAAAGCTCTTCTTTTCGTTTTCTTTTCTTTTAGACAACTCACAACTAAATCTGCATCAATTTTTCACGATTTTCCGCTTATCAAAACGAAACTAAACCCGTCTTAAAGAGTTTCTCTGTTTAAAAATCCCTCGTGAATCGAATCCCTAGTGAAACAACGATTTGCAAAGAATTAAAAGAAAAAAGATAGCGTTTAACATAAAATTCATGAATTTACATGGTTTTAAATCATTCTGGAAATCTTTTCAACAATGAAAAGGATCGTTTTCTCTCTCATTCTATTCATCGTTTTGTGTGTGGCTCAAAAAGATGATGGTAAGTTTATAAATCAAAAAGATGATGGCTAGTTTACAAATCAAAAGGATGATGGTAAGTTTATAAATCAAAAGGATGGTAAGTTTATAAATGAAAAAGATGATGGTTAGTTTACTTTACTTAAAATTCATGAACTTCTCTGAAATATGCAAATTCTATATGAATCTATATCTAGATATTAGTTTTTATTTTTAAAAACTCGAATTTAAGTGCTGAACTTGAGTTACGTGGATATTATTATCCCATTCTACTTCAAGAGCAAAGCATTAGTTCACAAAAAAGCTAATAAAGTTATTTACCATAATTTTTACATCAAATTTGCTTACGATTAGAGAATTCAGATGGAAATCGAGAAATGAAAGGAGAAGAAAGGATTAAACAGTTAAACATTCAACAGTTCCCGTTAAACAGAAAAGTCTCAGCATATGAAAGAGCGAAAACATTCAGAGCAAGGTTTTGTTTTGTTTTTTTTTGTAAGCTCTCTTTTGCAATTAGAATCAATAATAACTTTGGTATTGATAAAAAAAAATATAAAAACTAGTTATGAAAAGATTTCTAGAAAGAAATCTCTAGAAAGAAATCTCTAGAATTTCTAGACAAACCGACAAGGAAATCTACTCAGCTCTTCCCGAATCCATGCGCGAACAGATGATGATCAGGCAAAAGTTATTCTAAGTGAAAAATGAAAAAGCTACCATCCTGAAGTGAGCCTTTTAAGTCAAAATGATTTTGGCAAACGGGAAGAGATTACTAACAGTTTTTTGGCATTTACTTCCCTGTAATCACCAAATTTCAGAGAAAAACTCCAAGCTCGACAGCATTCACTCAAAGCCATCAAAGCTAAAAGAAACTAAAGCAAACAAGAAACGAATTTTCAAATAAAATTCCCCTTTCCACAAATTTATTTTGTAATGATTTTATTTTATTGTTTCAAGTGTAAACGATGTTGTTAAAAGTGTTGGCTCATCAACAAAAGCAAAAAAAAAGATCTGATTAAGAAACAAACCAAATCTATAAACTTTTTAAGAATCGAAACATCAACCAGGATTAAAAATGAAGAGCTGTTGAGTGAAATTATCGGGGGTAGAAACCAGATCGTGTGAGCTGTAGATCAGTTGGCGCACTCTGCGATCAGACTGCGCAACGTTGGCAGGACTTCTTGGCCCCAAAACAACTAGAAAAATCCACCGTTGCTTGGTTTTAAATAATATCGGTTTGAATCGATTTGAGATGCTCCCGAAAAACTTGGTCATTCGTCGTTGAAGGTTGAAGTTGAAGTTGAAGTTGAAGAGTCGTGCAAAAGCTACTGATGACTACCACAGCTACTGATAACTACCACAGCTACTGATGGCTACCACAGCTACTGATGGCTACCACAGCTACTGATGACTACCACAGCTACTGATAACTACCACAGCTACTGATGGCTACCACAGCTACTGATGGCTACCACAGCTACTGATGACTACCACAGCTACTGATAACTACCACAGCTACTGATGGCTACCACAGCTACTGATGGCTACCACAGCTACTGATGACTACCACAGCTACTGATAACTACCACAGCTACTGATGGCTACCACAGCTACTGATGGCTACCACAGCTACTGATGACTACCACAGCTACTGATAACTACCACAGCTACTGATGGCTACCACAGCTACTGATGGCTACCACAGCTACTGATGACTACCACAGCTACTGATAACTACCACAGCTACTGATGGCTACCACAGCTACTGATGGCTACCACAGCTACTGATGGCTACCACAGCTACTGATGGCTACCACAGCTACTGATGGCTACCACAGCTACTGATGGCTACAACAGCTACTGATGACTACCACAGTCACTGATGGCTACCACAGCTACTGATGGCTCTGGAGATGCTCTGTATTGTGGTTCAGAAGGCGATTGAAAAAAATAGCGCAATTCTAATAGACAATGACTGTTTAGGTTTTTCGTTTTTCAAGTCTGAGGATTGATCATGAGAATTTTAGATTTCAGAAATTGTTTTTAATCAAATCAAACCTAAAAATAGTTTCAGAATCGATGTTTCATTTCGATCTTTGCCACTCTTGACTCACTTATCAAAGAGACAAACAATTTTATGGCTTAAACTATCAAAAAATGATCCCAGTTCTAAAATTGGCCTTATCAGCACTTCCGTTCTCCTTTCTTTATAAGCAATCGGGGGATCTGAGAACAACAACAGTTTTCACAATTTGACCAATGAAGCTATTGCTTTTTGCTGTATTAATCTCTTTCTCAGTGAGCGAATTTTTAGACGATCCAGATTATCGACCGGCTTTTCTTCATAGGACTAGGGGTAAGTTATTGATTTGGCTTTAGATTACCGTACCTTGAAGCTCTTTAGCTTCTTGACATCCGAATAAATGCAATACTAAGCCTAGAGCAAGTACTGTAGCTAAAGACAAAGTAAAAGGACTGACTTGGAGTCAAGGGATTGAATCTAGAGCTAAAGTCAAGTCAAGGGATTGGATCTTCTACAAATCTAACCACACTTCTAGGTGCTTTCATTGAAAAACATCGAATCGGTGTTCAACTCCCACAAAGCGAGTCACAAGAAGAAGGGAAAAGTATTGAAGTTGAAGAAGATGACAAGGAATTTGATCTGATTGTGGATGAGAATGAAGGGGAGGGAAAGCCATTGAGTCGATCACGAAGAGACACATCTGATGAAGAGAATGACAAGGAATTTGATCTGATTGTAGATGAGAATGAAGGGGAGGGAAAGCCATTGAGTCGATCACGAAGAGACACATCTGATGAAGTGAATGATGGACCTGGGGGAGCCTTTGAGGTGAAAGGTAGGGAGTAACCTTTTGAAAAGAGCAATTGAAATCTCTAATCGATTTTCCATTGAAATCTTTCAATATTTGATGAATTCAGATTCAACGGATGGTCAAGAAGGAGACGATTCTCTCGTTGAATTGGGTGATGGTCGATATGGAGACTCGGATGGACAAGGAAAGGAAAGAAGCGGGCGATTTAGGAGAATGCTCTTAGCTGATAGGTAATTTACTATATAAAAGAGCAATGCTTAGGCAAAAACAATATATTCTATGCCTTAAATATTTAGCCAAGAATCACGCCGTTTCCCAGCTCGTCGTCCATTCGGCATCAAGAATCATTGCAAGATTGATAAGAAGGGAAAAAGGTGGCTTTTAAGAAAGCAAAAGAAAGAAAGAAAACTTTATTTCATTTAAAAGAATTGATTTCTTAAACTAGTCGAGCTTTAAACTTGTAAAGACAAAGAAGTTTAGTTTACTCTAGTCAAAATTGATGCAAACAAGTATAGGAATTCTTTTATTGTATAGGAAATCTTTCATTCTTTCATTCTTTCATTCTTTTATTCTTTTATTCTTTGATTAGACTAAAATCTAACCTGTTAATCTAATGCTTTGAATATCTAGGTTAACTAATCCAGTGTTTGTTTTAGGAAATGTTTTTTACGAGATCCAGATGATCAATCAATGAAATCGGTGAAAGCACGAGAAAGAAGAGCTTTATCTCATTCAATCTCAGACATTCAACTTGAAAATGATCAAGAATTTGATGAAAAGTTGAAAGATTTGAAGCAATGGAAATACAGAAAAGGACAAGAAGATGTGGATGAAAAGAGGTGGCTCAATTGTTCTTTAGCTTTTGACTGTTATGAAGAACGTTATGAAGAACGTTATGAAGAACTTTATAAAGAACGTTATGAAGAACTATCTATCTATAAGTTTAAGCCTTAAAATATCAATTAAATCATTTAAATTTAAAAATTATCCTTTAGCGATCTGGCCATTAAACGCCGAAGGACATTTCGTCGAAGGTGTCAAATTGAAGGGATAAATGGAAGACGGTGAATCTATATAAATTTATGATGTAGATAGATGTAGATGATTTATGATGTAGATTGATGTAGATTGATGTAGATAGATGTAGATAGATGTAGATTGATGTAGATTGATGTAGATAGATGTAGATTGATGTAGATAGATGTAGATTGATGTAGATTGATGTAGATAGATGTAGATTGATGTAGATAGATGTAGATAGATGTAGATTGATGTAGATTGATGTAGATTGATGTAGATTGATGTAGATAGATGTAGATTGATGTAGATAGATGTAGATAGATGTAGATTGATGTAGATTGATGTAGATTGATGTAGATTGATGTAGATAGATGTAGATTGATGTAGATTGATGTAGATTGATCTAGATTGATCTAGATTGATCTAGATTGATCTAGATCTAGATATTTGAAGATCTATAGATATTTAGTTATTCAGATTTTGTATATGCAAAAGAGTCTTTTAATGATTTTCTCCTTTTTAGACGTTGTTTCCCCCGACCAGAGCGCCAGCTAGAGAGCCCGAAGAAAGAAGTGGGTGAAAACTGAAGCGAAACATTGTATATAACCTATATTTAGATTTAAAGGATATCTATAAGATCTAGATATTAAAATTCGTTATCTTCGTTATCTGAATAGTTATCTGAAGAACTTTTTCAAGATTTAAACCTTTTTAGAACCGTGAACACCGCAAAAGAAACCCTGATGGACAGCTTTGAATTTGAGCTGAGCTGGATTTGAGCTGGATTTGAATGAGCTGATATACTTATATACTTGCTTGATAATAAATGTAAATAAAGATTTAATCTGTAAATGAAGATTGTTATAATCTTTGTTAGCTTTATTATCTTTGTTATCTTTCTTATCTTTATTATCTTTATTATCTTTATTATCTTTATTTAAAGCTACCATTCATTTGCATAATGCATTTGCATATTCAGCCTTCCAGGCCAGGATTGGCGTTGACTTCATCTCCAGTTTCAGCTTTCTTTCAGCTTTCTTATAACCTAGAAATTCGAAAATTCACAATATTTATCATTCAGCTTATATAACGACCCAATTTCTACCTAAAAATCGACTAAAATTAAGTAATTTTTATGGTTTTTAACTCAAAAAACAATCTTTTAACTCAAAAAACAAAGCTTTTGATTGAATACCTAGCAATTATATAAAACGATATAAAACTCCAACGATTTAGGCAAAAGATGTACTCAGATCGCTCGTCAATGCACCCAAAACATCACCCCAAAACGCCATCCCGACAAATATCACGCAAATCATTAATCAAATTTGCGATCGGGATTGAAAATCGTAGAGAAATGAAGAGGAAAATGCATTCGATAAAGAACAAATGTTCAATAGGTAAACATCTACCTAAATTATTGAACTTTTTGGGTAATTTAAGTGTCCTATAGAGTCCTATAGAGTCCTATAGAATCCTATAGAGTCCTATAGAGTCCTATAGAGTCCTATAGAGTCCTATAGAGTCCTATAGATTCCTATAGAGTCCTCTAGAGTCCTATAGCTCAAATTATTGCACTTGAACCTCTATAAAAATCAAATCCGAGAAAATTGACAAGAAAACAAAATTGAAAATCATAAAAACAAATTGAAAATTAAAACGTAAAGATTAATAGAAAATAACTTTTAGATTTAGAAAAAACAGATTCAGAAACAGATTCATTAAAGCAGGTGCTTTTTCAAACCTTTTTATAGATTGGCTTTTGGTTCGTCAACAAGAATATTGTTATGATTATCCATTTCCTTACCACTCGTTTGCATAGTAATTGAAATAAGCTTGAGTCTCGAGTTGAGGTTTCAGAGAAGTGTCTTCAATCACTGGGAAAGTCGAGCGACGACGATAACCGGAAAAGGAAATGTGTACTTGGATCTAAGTCTAAGCCATAAAACCTAAGCATAAGCCTAGCCTGAGCCTGAGCCTGAGCCTGAGCCTGAGCCTAAGACTATGCCTAAGCCTGAGCCTAAGCTTAAGCCATCAAGCCTAAGCCTAAGCCTGAGCCTAAGCCTGAGCCTAAGCCTATGCCTAAGCCTGAGCCTAAGCTTAAACCATCAAGCCTAAGCCTAAGCCTGAGCCTAAGCTTAAACCATCAAGCCTAAGCCTAAGCCTGAGCCTAAGCTTAAACCTATGCCTAAGCCTGAGCCTAAGCTTAAGCCATCAAGCCTAAGCCTAAGCCTGAGCCTAAGCTTAAACCATCAAGCCTAAGCCTAAGCCTGAGCCTAAGCTTAAACCATCAAGCCTAAGCCTAACCTTAAGCCTTCAAGCCTAAGCCTATAAAACCCTGCTTTGCATTGCTAAGTATTAGACCAGTTAGGCCCGTTAGACGAGGGTCAAAGCTTGTCAGGAATTGCTTTTGAAACAAATAGCCTAGTTTACGTCTAATGCCAGCTCGTTTAGATACCCTGGTGCCATCGAGAGTTGTTCGCCTAGTTCACTCTCAAACAAACGCTCATATCTTGACACCAGTACGTTTGTTTCTGCGCGTTTAGGTATCAAATTAAAGAAGAGAAAATGGGTGTTTTTTTAAGATATAACAAATACTTTAAGCATTAACCAGGGCTTAGAAAAAGATGATTGAAAAATGGGAAAAAAGAAAACCGATTTTTCATCTTTTTCATATAAGTAAAGCATAGAAAAACTTAAAAATCAAAAAAACTGAATGAATTTACTGAATACTTTATTATCTAAGCTTTCTAAGCTTTAATTTCCACGTACCAATGATTTTAAACCAAACGCGAAACACGGAATCCCTCCACTCTTCAACGATGATCACCACCAAAAGGCTGCTACCGTTTGCAGCTCTTTAACGAAAGAAACATTAACACTTTAACGTTTAAAAATGAACTTACAATGTTAAAAATAAATTATACGAAATGCCGATGAGTTGCGCGAAATAATTCGTCGTTTTATCGCTGCTCAACGCAAAATAACCCAACGTTACACCAAAAATTACCGAGAAAAACGTACCAATCACTAGCCATTTTAAAATCTGAAAAGCCGGCTTGAAAGATGAAAGATGAAAGTGAAAAAAAGAAATATTCTTACTTTCAAGACTCTCAAGTTTTCCCTCACTTGATACCGGACACTTAAATTGTAGTGAGTGAGGCCTAAAGGAGGAGACAGCTCTTCACCCCCGCTCTTTATTGACTCCAACCAGTCCAGAGCTCGACGATTCAGCGAAACGATTTTGAAGTAAAGCTGGAATTTCATTGAGAAATGGGTTTTCAAGATTTCCATAGCTTTATCAGTGCTTTTTCTTTCAAAAGTAGCGAACAGTTCAACAAAAGGAGGCAAAGAAAACGGAAAGAAAGTATAGCAGGGAGTCGAACCCCTGCCCTCGACCACCCTCCGCCTTAGAGGCGGACACTCTACCCAGTGAGCCAAAGACGCTTGTGAGCAGGTGAAGAAAGAAAGGGTCGAAAGAGTAAAAGGGGAAGAAAATAAGCTGAATAAGAAAAACCTTTTCCTAAACGATGTAACATTCAAAAACTACCCTTAGTTTTTGAATGTTACACCGTTGAGGAAAAGATAAGAGCTTCTTTAGCTTCTTCAGCTTCTTTAGCTTCTTTAGCCTCTTCTTTAGCTTCTTCTTTAGCTTCTCCTTTAGCCTCTTTAGCCTCTTTAGCTTCTTTAGCTTCTTCTTAGCTTCTTTAGTACTCTTCTTTAGCTTCTTCTTTAGCTAGAGGTAAGATCACGATTTTTTTCTATCCAAAAAAGTTCAACTTACAACGAAAGTCCCAATTTCGACTGCACTAACGATGGTGACCGAGATGATTGTGCATTCAGTTGGATAAATGATAATTACTAAGCTTTTCTATTTAAAATTTTCCATTTTTTACTTACAAAACATTCCCGCTAGCACAATAAATGCCCCTTGAATACCGCAAAATAAAAGAATTGCTAGAAATGTTTTTGTTTTTCGATTCTTCTCATAATCGGCAACGAAATACGTGGCGAATATTCTGAAATGAATCGTTTCAATGTGTTTCATCTTTGGCTTCTTCATGTGTCCTTTATGTTTAGCCAAAATCCGATACAAATTTACTTCTTAATTCTGAAAGGATAAGCTGTTTGATGAGGGTTTTTTGAAAATAGAAATAGAAATATTAAATTATGAATAAAACCTGTCTAAACAAATCAATGGTAAAAGTAATCCGCCAATTGTGATCTCCATTAATCGCAAAAATGAAGCCAACGTCACTAATGGATAAGTGATTATGAGAAGATCTAAAAAACAAATCTTTCAGTTCTTTTTTTTGAGCTTTTGCCAGCCTTTCTGTTTAGCTGTTTGCTCCTTTCTGCTTTGACCTTCACCTTTATCTAAAATCGCTTCTGCTTCAAAAGCCATCAAATAAATTCGCCCCAAATTGCTAGTGAAGAAAAAGAATTGACAAAATAGGATGATGTTGACGAAATTTCGATGAAAAATTCCTGTTTTATAGAGGAGACGAAAGATTGGGATTTGAAGGGGAATAAAGAGCAGAATATTCAACAATTCCACGATTGTTGCCAGCTTCCAGATTGAGGAAAGAAAGTGACTTTGCTGAAATGAATTTCACTTTCTGAATGTTTGCTTTCTGTTGACCTATTTGCTAGTCTAGCTTAGCAATACTATTAAGTAGCTTGCCATTGTCAGAGCTGTTCTTTGAGTCAGCTAGGTCAAGCTAAAGTATTGTAAACGGGCTTGAGGGTACTCTACACAAAAGTACTATATCAAGGGTACTTTATTTGATTAAAGAATACAATTACAATGTTTATCTGTATTCTGATAAAGCTGAATATCTTTTCATTTCTTAAAATAAAAGATATTCAATCAATTTTCTAGAAAAGAAACTGATTTAAGATTTTTCTTTTCTTAGAATATTGATTCAAGTGCAATAATTTGAGCTCACTGTAGTTCTATAGGACTCTATAGGACTCTAGAAGACTCTATAGGACTCTAGAGGACTCTATAGGACTCTAGGACTACTATGATTATAGGATTCTATATAGGATTCTATTCCTATGGAGTATCTGTTAGGACTCTATGAGGACTCTATAGGACCATATAGGGCTCTATGTACCTATAGTACTATGGGACTCTATGGGATTCTATAGGCCTTATAGGATCTATAGGACTCCTGGTCCTTTATGGGACCTATGGGGCTCTATAGGACTCTATAGGACTCTATAGGATTCTATAGGAATTCTCGGACTTATAGGAGGGACTCTTTAGGATTCTATAGGGGGACTCTATAGGACTGGGTGGACTCTATAGAGTCTTCTATAGGACTCTATGGGACTCTAGAGGATTCTATAGGACTCTATAGGACACTCAAATTACCCAAAAAGTTCAATAATTTAGGTAGATGCTTACCTATTCTTTTCTTACAATTATTTTTTCGGCAATAATTTTACAATACCTTGACGTAATTTAAGTTTGTAAAAACTGGAAGAAATACTTTATAATAAGTGCCATTGATTGGGAAATCGTAAATCATGACGGGAAGTTGTTATCCAACAATTGAAAATAAATCAAAACATTGAAAACATTGATTTAAATGAACATTTAGATTGACAGGTGCAATTTCTGAAGTCAACATTTCCATAGACAACGTATCAAGAAACCAAGCAACGAAATTAATGAAAGAAAAGGAGAAAATACGGCTGGAATCATGAGATGGCTATAACTACAGTACTACAGTACAACTACAGTTCGTAGAAATTCGTCTTTTCTACAGGATCCTGTTATCTGATGTTACTGTATCTTATTGAAAGGTCTGTAATGTCTGTAATGAAAGCTAAAGTGAAAGCAGCTAAAGCGAAAGTTCATCCAGTATCTGTAAGCCAGATCAGATCCAGATCCGGAGCCCAATTTCTAATCTGGACCTGTCTAGTCTAGAAAAATCACCTTTGAACTAATCTTGCTGGTCTTGCTGGTTCAGAAGAGCCTTACTATTAGCTCTAATACTATTAGCTTACTTACTATTTACTTTCTAATACTGATCCAAACGGATATCGATCGACGAATATCGATCTAAGAATGGCCTACAGTCTGAACTGATCTGACTTCAAAATTGTGAAACCTGTTCTAATTGAGAAGTTCAGAAGACTTCTTGAGAAGAAGAAGTGTCCTAACTCAGAAGTTAGAACATTTCTTGTTCTAAGTTAGTTCCTAGCCTACCCCTGGTCTATAACACCTGACTATTAGCTCTAATACTGAACCAAACGGATATCAATCTATGAATATCGATCTACGAATATTCCACGTTACTATATTTCCCTTTAAAAGCTTTTTGGCATCTTTTATTATTATATTCTCAGCAAACTCAGCTTTCGATGGCACAACTTTCACCAGTCACTCGGCAATTTGCATACGAGAGTGGAATAATGGGGTAGATTGGGGGAAAGAGACAGCCTTTTCTCTCCAAAATATTCAGCCAACCAGTTTCCGGTGAGATGATCATGAATGAAAAAGGCTTACTCAATAATTTCAGCCAAACTCTCGGCAAGAGTTGAAACTGGATTTGAGACAATATAAAGGGAGATGATTTTGAGCTTTTGAAGCAATGGAATCAAGCAGTCTGTGTTTTTTCTGATTCTGAATTGTTCTTTTCTTTCTTCTCTTTCTGCTCCTCTTTCTTTTCTTCTTTCTTCTCTTCATCTTCTCTTCTTCTTCTCTTCTTTCTTCTCTTCTTTCTTCTCTTTCTGCTCCTCTTTCTTCCCTTCTTTCCTCCGTTCTTTCTTCTCTTCCTCCTTCCCTTCTTTCCTCCCTTCTTCCCTCCCTTCTTTCTTCCCTTCTTCCCTTTCTTTTCAAGTCCAAATCTTTCCACCAACAAGTTAAGCAAATTCATCAATGATTTCAGCATTAAATCGCTAAACTTTACCATAAAGCCATAACCAAAAAGCTTTCGTTTACAAAAATCCTTGCTTTCAATTCATTACTTTCTTGCTTTGTTGTAGATTAAACTTAAACTTTGTTGTAGATTCAGCCCAAAATGTTGCTTCGATTATCAATGATTCTTTTTGCTATTCACTGGATCAATGCTGACAGGTTTAAAAACTGATTTCCTTTTATAAATTCAATTCAAATTTAGAGAAATCGTCAACGTTGGGAACTCTTTTCAAGTGCTTGATCCAAATCAAGAGCTAACAATTGGTGGGGATTCATCGGGAGAAAGAAGTGAGGAAGCTTTGAACTTTTTGAAAACTGTGCATTAAAACTATGCATTTGAACACTAGCTTACCAGCTATAACTGTAAATTTGAAAACTTTAGTTCATTTATTATTAAATCATTCAATCTTTCAATCATTCAATCTGAATCAAATTCGAATCGGTCACCATTAGCATTTGAGCAGGCTTTCAAGGCTGCAGCATTTGAGCAGGCTTTCAAGGCTGCATCATTTGAGCAGGCTTGCAAGGCTGCAGCATTTGAGCAGGCTTTCAAGAAAGCGTCAACGACGACCGAATAGGCTGCATCGAGCTCTTCCCACGCTTTCAACAGCGATTTCTTCAAGATTTCGATGTTTTTGTAAGGCTTTGAACAAGCTTTGGCTTCAAGAACCGACTTAAACTTCTAGAACACTTAAAAATCCATTGGGTCGAGGTCTGGAGAGCTAGGTGACCAATCAGAAAAAGAAATGAAGTCCGGGAAGTTATTTTGGCAGAACTATTGGACTTTCTTGGATTTGGAAGCCTGTTTTAGTTTAATTTGCTTTAGTTCATTTGTTATTCAATCTTTCTTCTCATTCAATCTGAATTCTCGTCTTTCCAGTTCCATCTCGTCTCCTCTCACTCAACTCAATGCAAATCGCCATGAAATATCTTCGAAAACAAAAAGAAAAACAATAAAAACAATAAAAATCTCTATATCAATTCCTTTAACATAAATATTTATTCAAACAAAATCACAAATTATCATTGAAAAGAAAACAACAACCATTAATCTTCTTTAATGATTTTTAGGCCTTTGTAAAAGATGTGTATTGAAGCCGTCTTTCGTGATTTTGAACTTATCGAGCTAAATTAATTAACTTAATTAACTAAATTAAATTAACTAAATTTTAAGATCAAATCAAATTTTCAAACATTTTTACGAAAAAACAAAAAACACAGGTCTTGGCCGGGTTCGAACCGGCGACCTTCTCGGTGTAAACGAGACGTGATAACCACTACACCACAAGACCACATTGGTGGCGGGGTCGGGGAGTCCCTTTTGAGGGATTCGGGGACCCCTGGCGGGTTTCCCGAATAAGTTGGGCTAGATAAAAGCTCTTTAGCTGAATATCTTGAGAAACATTGTAATATTTAAAGCTACAGTAAGCCGAAAGACGAATGTGAGCCGAAAGAAAAGATATTCAGCTGAAAAGTTTCGATAAAAGAGCGAGAGCTGGGAAATAATTTTTATTCTTTTACTCGAAAACAAGCACCAATTCTTTTAGAATGCTTAATTTTGCTTTTGCTTTTGCTTTTGCTTACTTTGTAATTTTATGCAAATTTGATCTAAATTTGATCTTTATATGCTAATCAATGCATTATAAACTTAAAATTTAAAAAAATTACATACATTTCAAACTTTTGATGCCAAATTCACCCTCTGTGCAGAAAAGTGGCTCTTTTTTGTGAAATCTTATTTAATGTTTTGATTTGAATGTCTGATTTTCTTGCCCCGCCTCTAAAAGATCGCTTTTATGATAAAGGGACGGAGCCCACTTTATAGTCTCTTTCCGTATTTTCCTTTCATATTCTTTTCTCGGCCCTTTCGTATTGCTTTTTGTATTGCTATGAAACATTGAACCAACGATTGATTCTATTCTTTTATATTTTCTCGCTAGATTAGTATTGTGCTAGATTCGGAATAAATATCTAATAATCATCGCCCCCATCATTATTGTGCTCAGAGATCACGAGGGCCGACCCGTGACGACTTTAAGAGTTTTTGCGACGCCGTACTATCATTGTTCGCCTACTCGACGAGACTACACTCGGCACGTCATGCTGAAAACGATCTACTCGAGAAGATGCGGTGGAATGGGAGAGTGCACGGGGGCACGATGTTCGAAAGTTGAGCCAGAAACGGAGCTGGACGAGTTCAAGGACATGAACGGCCGACCTGGAGTGACTCGATGCCAAGAAGCGAGGAACAAGAAGTGTTCGGGGCCCGGTTGCGGGTGCCTGACATTTGCAAGTGGTTGCTTTTTCTGGAGAACATACGTCGAGCCGAGAAATGAGGATATCACTGAAGTGATCGAATGCGAATGGGAACATGGACTCGAAATTGGATGGCTATTTGATGCCCATCGGTATTCTCTCATACACTGCACACCCTCTAATTGAAAGAAATCAAGCCAATTAGCCGAATTTCGAACAAAAATCAGATTTTAAAGTGAAATTTCTCTTATAACTCTTGACGACTTTTAAGTGTTCATTGGTTTTTTTAAGAATTTCAAAAACAAACCCGATTCCCACCAGATCCTTGACTTGCACACAAGATCCCGGCTTTCTCGTTCACTTCAAACACGACATACATCGGTGATCGCCGGGAAACGGTGTACGCCATTCCGTATGGATCCTCGAAGATCCCAACCATCCAATAACCACCGAATTTCTTCTCCAACTCCTGAAAACGATTTTGAAATGTGTTTTTTTGAAGAATTTCGAATGCTTTCTTCTGCTTTCTTCTATTCTCCGTGTAACAATGCTCAGAAAACAGCAAAGCCATCAATTTTCAAACAAAAACTATTCAACTACTGCAGTATCTTTGTTTTTTTGCGCACTTTAGCAGCAAAATTTCAGATTTAAGCATCATACAATCGAGTTTTATATTGAAATCTCAAAGAATTTCCATCAACTGTTCAGCTCTTGAGCATCAGCTGTTGAGCTCTTGAGCATCAGCTGTTGAGCTGTTCAGCTGTTCAGCTGTTCAGCATCAGCTGTTGAGCTGTTGAGCATCAGCTGTTGAGCATCATTTTATCCAAATCTTACTCAGCTTTCATTAAATAAACCTTTTTCTAAACCAATAAACCTTGAATTTTAAAAACCAATCATCCCATTCCCCAATACTTTTCTTTTTTCTATCTTTTCTATCTGACCTATCCCATGAAATTTGATCAAATCAATTACGTTTTCTCGTCGCGAACATCTTTTGCGCTGACGTAAACCAAGGGAAATTTTTGAGAAGATTTTCAAGCGAATTTGATCTCTGATAGAAACAGAAAAAAAGCTATCTCACAATTGTTCTTGTAATTGGATTTGAGAACCTTGAAAGGAGCTTTGAAAAGACTTACCTAGACTTTGAAAGACTTAACTAGGCTTTAAAAAACTTAACTAGACTTTGAAAAGACTTACCGTAAATACTGTAATAGTACCCCCCCCCCCCCCCCCCCCCTCGTACAGTCGCGTAGTCGCAAAAGTTTTTTGAGTATTTCATTTTTTTCAAAGCGCCCGTACTTTCAGAAAATGTGTTTTTGGTATGAAAAAATAGCTGAAATAGAGGGCTATTTTTTGATATCTAAACGAGCATTTCAGCATAAGCCAGTGTCGAGAAAAACTCGTTCAAAGCTAGACTACGCAACACTCCACACCGTCATTATGGGGATGGGGTACTATTACAGTATTTACGGTAACTAGACTTTAAAAAAGACTTAACTAGCTTAAGACTTAACTACTTTGAAGAGGTTTAACTAGACTTTGAAGGACGGCGCTCTCTTTTAAAAGCGACTTCAACCGGCCTGGAGGTTACTTCTTGAAGAGACTTAACTAGATTTTAAAAGACTTAACTAGACTTTGAAAAGACTTAGCTAGGCTTTTAAAAGACTTAACTAGACTTTGAAAAGACTTAACTAGACTTTTAAAAGACTTAACTAGACTTTGAAAAGACTTAGCTAGGCTTTGAAGAGGTTTAACTTGACTTTGAAGAGACTTAGCTAGGCTTTTAAAAGACTTAACTAGACTTTGAAGAGGTTTAACTAGACTTTGAAAAGACTTAACTAGACTTTGAAAAGACTTAGCTAGACTTTTAAAAGACTTAACTAGACTTTGAAAAGACTAGGGATCGTTTTTTGTTTCCCAAAGTAGAATTTAGCCTATTTTAAAGACAATTTTTAGCTAATTTCGTAAATCTAGAATTCGTTTGTTTAAAATTCGTTTCTTTGTGGGTTCAAATTTTCGATTTAAATCCATTTGAAAGTTTTTGTTTTAAAAAACAAGTCTGACGCTGTTTAACTGACTGCGCGAGTATAAAGCGAGATCTTGCGTTCATTCCAGTTCTTATCAACGTGGCCAAGTGGTGAGTGCACCTAGGCTCTAAACCGGCAGGCCCTACTTCGAGCTCGGGCTTCGGTAAAACTTTTGCTTTTTAAAGTCAGGTTTAAGTCAGACTAAAGAGTCACCAAAACACGGATCAAACTTTAGAAGAAGAGCCTTTATTGATTTGATTAATTTATTGATTAACTCTTGACTTTAGTAAGTAGCGTGGTTTATTGACTGGAGAAAGAGTTCGGCTTCCTGGGCTGAAGCAAGTAAGAGCTTTAACATTTTATAAACAGAATTTCCACTCACATCTCCAATCTGATTGGTTCCTTCCCGATTGCAACTGATCACTCAGACAAATGATTGACAATCGTTTGCTCAATCGACATAACCTCATCAGCAGTCATTCCATAAGTGACTACCGCCTCGAATTTCAACTCTTTACCCATTTTTGATGATTGGTAGAGATGCAATCTGAAAATAATCTTTAAAAGAACTGCAAGGGTTTAACTTTTGCTTTATTTTTCTTACAATCTCTGTTGTACTGTAGATACTGTACTATAGTAAGTACTTTATCTAAACTCCCAATACTCTTGGGAGTCTAATAGTACTCGTACTTGTCGTTAGAGCACTTGGGAGTCTAATAGTACTCGTACTTGTCGTTAGAGTACTTGGAAGTCCTAATAGTACTCGTACTTGTCGTTAGAGTACTTGAGAGTCTAAGCGTAGCGTATAGTTTTGTAGCTAAAGTAGTATTGTATAGGAGTTATCGTCGTTACAGTACTCGCTGTACGGTTAGACTCTCAAGTAATGTAGCACAAGTACAAGTACTCTAACGATAAGTACGAGTAATTATAGACTCCAAGCACTCAAAAGACAAGTACAAGTACTATTAGACTCTCAAGAATATTAGAGTTTAGATAAAGTACTTGCTATAGTACTGTACCTAGAGTACAATAGAGATTACACAAAGTTCAGTATTTCAAAAACGATCTCAAAACTCACTCATGTGTGCCATCTTTGATAATTCTCGGTGCTCCAACATTTCTTGTCATTCTCACTAACATACAACCATTGAAATAAAGAAAAGAAAAGAAAAATAGCTGATCCATTCAGAAATCTAATTGTTTATTTGTAAAGAAGTTTGTTTTTCAAGAGATTTTCGAGTTCAACAATGATTGAGAACAACAATGACAACAACAATGACAACAACAACAATGAGTTTAACTGTGGAATTGTTGAACTCAATCAAAATTCGAGATTTTCGAATCTGATCAGAAAAACAAAAAAACCCGCTTTATTTATCACGTGTGATCTCAAAAGAGAGAGTTTTTTCGGTGAATCCTTTGAGAAACGAAAATCTCTGGGTGTTCGATGAGATAAAAAACAAATCTTTACTTTTGAAAAAGAATTTAGAAATGAGAAAGAAAGAAAGAAAAGAAATGAATGATTAATAGACAATGATCGAATTCTCTCCTTTCTGAACACACGGAGAACTTTTAATGGAAAAGAAAAATAAAACAAGGTTTTGATTTTAAAATAAAAGCTCAGGAATCAAAGTTGAAAGATTTAAAAGAAAAGATCAAGGGGTGAGGTTGGAAATCTTGGCTTAGCCCTTTCTTCCTCATTTCCTATTGATAAAATACCGTATTCTCTCTAATAGTACCCTCTACTATTAGAGAGAATTACGGTATTTAATCAGTAGAAAATGAGGACGAAAGGCTTAGGCCAAGATTTCTCCTTATGCATGACTCTAGAATTCATTCGGTGCGCCTGAAGGGTTCGGTGCGCCATTTAAAAGTATGTTTTTCCTGTACCGGCTTTTCCCTAATAGTAGTGCATCCAGCCGAGCCGAGTTGGTGACGATTTTATGGTTTCCAAGCTTTTGCAGGAGCTCAACACTCAAATCCCCCACAAGATCTCATCGTTGTGGAATTGTTGAACACAATCAACATGTTTATTAGTGTACTTTGTGCTCGAGCATCAAAACAAACCCTTTCTAACAGAGTCAATTCTTTTGAGTTCGTCGGAAAGGGAAAGGGAAAGGGTATGTTGCTACTATAACCGCTATCGTTACTATAGTTTCTACTATAGGATCAAAATGTAAACCCACCTTTCCTGGTGCAGTGGTTTGCGTTTTTTCTTGTGCTAATTGTCTACTATTGTGAGGAATGAAGAAGAGTATGCCAGAAAGGTTGTTTTCAAGGGCACAAAGTACACAAAGAGATAGCTGTTATCTAACAAGTACTGATCGATCAAATAGATAGTACTTTGTCACTGATAGTTGTCTTTAGTTGTCTTAAAATTATTGCTGTACAAAGCTGGATTGATACTTAAATTTCCAGGTTAAACCAAATCCAAAAAAAAATCATAGAATGTGACATGATGATTGTTGGTTTTGTATGTTTTGAATACCGTATTTTCTCTAATAGTAGTGCACCCAGAGCGTCGCCTAAATTCCTAAATTCCTCGAAATCTCGAGAACCGCTTATCAGAACCTATCGATGTGAGGTCGGAAAATGCAGCTGACGATGAGATCTTGTGGGGGATTTCAGTGTTGAGCTTCTGTAAAAACTTTGGAAGCCGTAAAATAGTCGCCAACTCGCCAACTCGGCTCACCGGGGTGCACTACTATTAGAGAAAATGCGGTAATCTTTTCTAATGCAAACAAGAAGCTGGAACAAGTGCTGAACGTGATCACAACCAGGTAAGCGTCCATTACTAACACCAATAAAACGTTTCTTTTTGGCGGGATACCATGATTTTCTGCTTAAATTCTCTCTTTTCCATAATTTGGAGGCAAATGACCATGATCTTCATAAGGGTTTACCAATTTAAAAAGGTTTAAGATGTAGCTGATGATGAGATCTAATGAGGGATTTGAGTGTTGAGCTTCTGGAAAAGCTTGGAAACCCTAAAAATCGTCACCAACTCGGCTCGGCTGGGTGACTACTATTAGAGAAAATACGGTAATACAAATATAGTCATAAAAAACGGTTAGAATTTGTAAATAGAACTGAAAGCCAATGAAATAGGCTGGAAAAATAAAAGAAAACGATGAATTCTCTAGAAGAAACTCTAGAAGAATTGATTCAAATCGACTCCAAACGAAAGTATTCAAAGTAATCGCTTTAAGAGCACCCAATTTACTCCCAAGAAAAAACCCTCTCCCTCACCGGTTTTCTTTGTGAGATTCTCTTTAAATAGTCGAATTTTTCGGTTTTAATGTTTCTAGTGTAAAGAAATGAGGGTCTATGGGGTGGGACAAATGCGACTGATTTTGCGCACCTGAGATATGTGCACCTTCTTTGCTAGGAAAAGGCCTTAGGAAAAGGTCGTAGAGCTCAAAAACATTTCCATCTAAGGGAATCGTATGCGTAGATTCCGAATTTCGACAAATCAGACCCCGCTGACACGTCAAATTTGGGCAAAAGGCAAAACTGCGGAAAAGCGTTGATGCTGCAGTGTTTGCCTTTTAGCCCAACAATTTGACGTGTCAGCGAGGTCTGATTTGTCGAAATTCGAATCTACGCATACGATTCCCTTCTATGGAAAACATTTTTGAAGCTCTATGACCTTCCAAGGCCTTTTCCAGCAAAAAAAGGTACGCAAATGTCCAGGTGCCGCAAAAAAGTGAGCATTTGTTCCACTCCGGAGCTTAGGCTGGTGGGTTGAAAAACATTCACAACAATAAACATAGAATTAAGACCCATTGATCATTTAAAATAAAGCGAAAAGTCACTTAAACATTACAATAATCAAGTAT